CCCCAAAACCCCAAAACCCCAAAACCCCGTATGAGGTGATTAATAAAGAAATAAGATAATTTAATTAAACATGGAAAACTGAAATTACATTAAGAAGTCACCAGAAGTTGAGTTGGAAATACCTTCGCGCTTAAAGAGTGCCTCAAAGAACAAATTTAGTGAAGATAAGAATTTAGAAAAAGACTTAGCCCCTAAATATCCATTGTTCTATGATTATGACCCCAATGACCAGTGAAAGAAAACATTACAGGAGCTATATACTACTGCGAGAAGGTGTCAGATCATTCTCAAGGAGTACCAGTCATGCCATTCTGGCTCCTATCCTCTCAGCCTGCACCAAATCTCTAGGCTAATTTCACAAATTGTTTCTACATCCAAAAATAACCAGTTCTGGATACAGTACAGGTGATATCATAAAGAAGACGTAATAATTATAAATGCATTCAACCATCTTTGGTCACAAATCGATGAACTCAAACAGGAGCTAAGCCTTATACATGAAGTTACTGAGAATCAGCAAAGAAAGGAGGTGACTCTAAAGAAGGGCCATAAGGAAATGGGTGAGAAGCAAGGAGGGCAACTGAGTAAGAGTCTAAAGTATCAAGCCTTCAATATTTGAGAGTTTTTAGTCTTTTGGCTTCTTACAAATTTTTGACAACAATATGATGTATTCTGAATCCTTTTATGTTTCCTCTTTTGCTTATGCTTCACATAATGCCCAACATTTATTCTGATCCACCTAAGTTAGAGACTGACCGATTTATTTTTATTGCTTATATCATAAATTTCTTAGCTTTAAACACAATAACCCAATATAGCGACCAAAACCCTCCAAGACATTCCTTGTATATTTCTTGAAAGAAGCCAAGAAGCTGCCAGTTTAAACTTAGTTCTCACTTTCGAGGCTCTTTACAGGTTGAGCTGTAATGGACTCAGTCAGAAAATTTATCATGACTCATATGAAAATACCATTGACTGTAATATTAGTGATTGGTATTATTTTTCACAAGAGCCAGGTCTTTCATTAGAGTTCGATTACACAAATCCTGAAAGATGTGTCTACGCCAAAAAGGTGAGCAAGGTCACTCTGCCTTATTTCGAAAGTGTCATTGTCAATACAGATTCTAAATCCTTAAAGCTATTCCATAAATGTGTGGCTCATTTTTCACCTTGCAGCAATGTGAAGGCTCTAGAAATTTTAGCCTTGGAATTAACCGATATTGCCCTCTATTTACCGCAAATTGTTAAGATATGTGCTCGTGTTCAGAAGAAAGTCTGCCTTTGAAAGTTTAACTTAAATGAAACCCAATTTAAAAAGTTCCTCATGGGGTGCAGACACCTTGAGGAAGTAAAATTTACATTGTGCAAATTTGATATTCCTAGAGTGCCTGACTTGAGCACGTGAATGAAAGGAACAGTTATTAAGAAAATTTGTTTATGGACTTGAATTCGACAAAATGAGTGGAGAAAATTCCCAGAAAAGTTAGAAACTTTGGTAAATGCAATTTCTGCTGGTGACCTTAAAGAGTCCCTCAAAGAAGTAGAATTTGAAGATACCTTATCTGAATATTTTGTGAATTGGATCTTTGAGAAATATGGTCTTGGCCATATTTTAAATTTAGGATAATTTGATGAAAATTAATCAAACAATTTTTTTACAAATTCAACATCAATATACCGATTCGGGGTTTTGGGGTTTTGGGGTTTTGGGGTTTTGGGG